GCGGCTGCCGGGGCCGCCGCCTTTGTTAGGCCCTGCTGCAGAGCGGGGAGAGCAGCGCCGGTCGCGCTGCCCTGCCGCGTCCCCGGCCTCCAGTGAACTGTGCTGCTTCCAAATAAATTAATAATGATTTATGCTCCCACATGCTGTTGGCTCAAACCAGCACGCTAGGAAAGGCTCCTCTATCCCAGCAGCCTCACGGAGTCGGATAACTTTGAATAGGCACTGAAAAATTACATGGTCGCTTTTGTCAAAGTTATACTTTTCTTTTTCCTAGTTTGGTTTCTTTCTTTTGTCTGTTTGATTGGGTTGTTTTGCTTTTGTTATTATTGTGAAGGTAGAGGTCAAAGAAAAATTACAGTTTTCATTAGGTCTTGTAAATTGTTCGTTATGGGGATTATCTTTCTAAAACCTTGAGGTGAGGATTCCTGAGCAAGCACTGCAGGTGCCTGTGGTTTGTGTCTCTGATCGTGTCTTGCACCAGTTCTGGTTCAGCTCAGGACTCTATGACTTCTCATGGCTGATCAAAACTTCATGAATAAAGTTTACACAGTTTGCACCTGCAGAGAAGGCAGGGAGTTGTCCCACCCTGAACTTCAGTGTGTATCACCCCTCACCGCCCAGTTCGGTGTCTGTGCTGCCAGCTCAGTCACCAGTCACCCCTGGCAGGGCTGCAGCGATGGTTACAGCCCTAGCCTGGTGCTCAGGAGAGCTCAGCGTGAGTTCAGCCTGTGCTTCCAGCCCCGTTTGGCAGATGGGGAATTGTTTTTCCCTCCCTTGGTGTGTTTACATCTTGCGCTGGTGTTTAAATTCTTACCTTTGACTTGTGGTCCTTGCCTGTCATCCTTGTCTGCACAGGCTTTCTTCTCTGTGTTTGTTCCACCCCTTCTTGTGACCAGTTAGTATTCTTTTCCTTGTAAGCAAAACACTGCTCTGGGGTTGGTTTTTTTTACACTTTATCTGTTTCCTGCCATTATCACTTCCCTCTGTTCAGGCTTTGCTGGCTTCAGCTCTTCCTCTCCTGCATATCCTGATTGTACACAGACATGTTTGTTTAGGAGCTCTGTTGATTCATCCAATCCTAGAAAGTAAATGCTGATTCCTGTTCGTGTGGTCTGGGAAACAGTCTGTTTAGAAAATGGTGTTTTCGGTGCCTGTGGCTTCTCTTTGATCTTCCTAGCTCTGAACCGAGGGTGGCACTCCTGAGGGTCCAGCCCTGAAGGTGCCACTCTAATGTTGGGAATGCTCTTGTGGTTTGTCAGTAGCTTGTTTGCCACTGGTGTTCACCCCATTGACCAAGGGGGAACGGGTGAGCAGTAAAGTAGTGGATGGGATGTAATCCAAAGTCTTTTCTTCTGTTTTCCCACAGTTTCATTCTCTTTATGGGAAATCATTGTTTGTGGGTTTTTTTGTGATGAGCCACCTATTAAAGTGTTCAGTACACATCACCAATAACTTGAAAAGTGTGGTTTCATGCACGCTGTGTACTGTACCCC